GCACCAGACGTGAGAGGTCGAGGGCCAACGTCTTGGCGTATTGCGCCTTCTCGTCCGTCCTCTCCCACATCCCAGGCTCTCCTGCGGCCATGGCGTGCGCCACGCGTTCGCTTGCCAGCACCCGGGGGGGAACGGAAGCAGGAGGCGCCATCGACCCGCCCTTTTCATGCATGTCTACCCCCACAGCGCCGTATTTCTCTCGCAATTTCCCGGCCCGCCCCTGTAGCCACTTCAGGGTGACGCCATCGGCGGGAAATACTCCGGAGAGGGCGCCCCATTCCGTGGTCATGTTACTGATGGTCATCCTGTCCTCCATGCCCAGGCAGCTCAAGCCATCTCCCGCGAACTCGACCGCATGGTTCAGAACCTCGTCCTTCCTGAAGAGGCCGCATAGGGCTAATATCACGTCTTTACCCCCCACACCCTGGCGAAGCACGCCCGTCAGCTCGACGCGTGCCACGGGAGGGACCCGCCACCAGGTCCTGCCCGTAGCCCAAAGAGCGGCGGCATCCGTGCGTACCACCGGCGTACCCAGTGCACCCAATGCTCCGTACATGTTAGAATGACTGTCACTGGCCACAACCATCCAGCCTGGCTGCACGTAACCCTCCTCGCACAAAACCTGATGGCCTATGCCCCGCCCGGCTGGGAAGAAGTCGAGGCCGTGCTGACGAGCAAAGTTCTCGATCGCTGCGTACCGAGCTAGATTTTTGGGGGAACTATCTTGCACATTGTGGTCAAGGGCCAGCACCGGCTGCCGCTGATCTGCGATGCTTGGAAATGGATTGTCAGGGCTAATAGCGCTGCCCTCAGAGTGAGAGAGGGAGACAAATTTTGTCATGACCGCCAGGGTATTGTCATGCGTCATCACATGCTTCGGCTTTATGGAGATTATATTCCCTGCACTAATGTCTTTTTTGTCCGCGTCCACCGCGTGGCGCCGAGCAATTTTTTCAACCAAGTTTAACGGAGATGCTGCAGCAGCAAAAGAACACCGAGGCTGGTTGCAGGCGGCCAAATTCTGCTGAAGTAATTGCAATGAACGACCCTGCCGCCCCAGCAACCGGGGATGCGCGGCCATGTGCAGAAAATTCTGCCCTCTACGTCGTGTGTATACGCGTTGCTCGGATCAGTACCTGTGGCTTGCGATTAGGACAGGGGCAATGGACTGGTTAGTGAAGTCGAACTGCGAAAGTCGGCGACAGAGCGACCTGGTCCGTCCTATCTCCTCAACGCGAGCAATGATGGAACTTCCTGTCGTGCAGCAACGTCTGAATGCTTCATTTCATACACGCCTACACAGTCTTTGCACGCCCACTGACGACAGCTGCAGCGGGGTGTGGAGGTAGGCTGCCCGGGCACGTGTCGTCAAGAGGATGAGGGAAACGTCACGCTGGAGGAGGCGGAGCCCTTTAACCCGTTTATTCTCCTTTAAAGCCTCCCTTTGGCCGGACTGTAGGACAACGTCCGCCTCGAAGCTGTTGCCGGCCCACTCCCTTGATCTTTGTTCCATTTTTGTCCTGCTCGCAATCCTCGTTTCCGCTTCATCACACCCAACCTCCCTGCCTCCAACTCGTCGACAAACCCCGTCCCTTTCCCGCCTGCCGCGACTTTTCCAGGCACGGTCCTCGTACACGGCCTTCCAGCATGCAAACCACCCACAGTATTTGTACACACTTCGAAATGTCCGTGGCGGGGCATACCCTTCCAGGGACGACCAGGGCTATGGGAGAGGCGGCTATCCTCCTTACGACGACGACTACGGTGACGATTTTTACGACACTGATTCGTACTACCCACCACCCCCACCCCCTCCCTCTTCCTCTCGGAACCGCAATCGAGCATCAGGGCGCCCATCCTCCCCCCCCACGTCGCCCAGAGGGAGACCCGGCAGCAGCGCGAGCGCCTCTAGCTTCCGCTCTCTGGTCAACGAGCCCGTCCCGCCCTCTCTCAAACGTCTGGGCTTCACCCTCTTGGGCGCCAGCCTGGTCTTGACCGCCATGGGTGTCTCTCTCTTCTTTGAGCGGAACCTCTTGCGCCTTGGCAACCTGTGCTTGATTGTGGGCTTGCCCCTCTACTTCGGCCCTGGCCGGGTCATGCGCTTGCTGGTGGCCAGAGAGAAGCTGCGGGCATCCGTCTGTTTCTGTCTGGGCGTGCTCCTGGTGCTGCGAGGGAACTCCTTCTTGGGGATGCTGCTGGAGGTGTTTGGGTTTTTCAACTTGTTTGCCAACTTCTTCCCCGTCGTCTTGGCCCTCCTCCGAGGCCTCCCTGTGGTCGGCGACCTCTTGAAGCGGCCGGAGAGGGGCCCAGGGAGCGGGGGGGGGGAGAGGGAAGGAGTACTACGGGCAGAGCGGGAGAGGGACGTACAGGGATTCGTATCAGGGTGACTACGGCGACAGATGGTAAGGGGATAGTAGCTGGTGCTGGGCGAGGCAAGGATTGGATAAGGAGCTACGACCCAAAGCATGGCGACGGGGAGCAAGACGCGTTCCGGGCGAGGTTCAAACGCCCTCAGCTTGCTCTCTTCTCTTTTGCGTGGAGTGTCGGAACTGTATGCCCAGGTTGAGCTCGGAAAGCCTGTATGAGGCGGGACGGTCACGGAAAGCAGGGCCGGCCTGCCTTTCCTTGTAGCGTCAAAGTCCTCCAACTGTTCACATGCCGTGAGAAAAGAAAAAGAAACATTTTCTGTGCGCTCACTGGGACGCTGCCGACCCTTCTCCTTTTTGTTTTACTCGTTTCAAATGATTACCTGATGTCGTTCGCATATCCACAATTCTTATCCTTCATTTTTCATAACAAGCGACCTCTCTCCCTCGACCAGCCATTTTGTAAAACTGCAATCTCAAGCCCTTCTCGCCCTGCAAGCCTGGCCATTCTTTCTTTAAGCCTCCTCCTCTCTTACGGCCTTTGCGATAGCCTATCTTCACGCACGATTCTCCAATGACCGCGCCCCTTAGTCCTTTGTCCTACGGCCCGGGGCAGTGGGTGATGGGTCTCGCCCAGAAAGCAGAGCGGATCTCCAGGGCACACATCCTCTCCCTTGGCAAGCACTATCTATGCAATTCCTTCGTGACAGTCGCGTATCCCTCCACCCGCCTGCTTCCTCCTGACTCGCCCCCAGGCACACATCCCAATCGACCATCACGCTGACACCCTCTCCTTCTCGCCTTTCATTTCCTTATGTCCCTTCCCCACACCCACATGGCTTTACGTGGCAGTGGGTGGGAAATCCTCCTTACCCACCCAGCTGTTGCGACGCTTCAGTCGCGCGTAGACCTTGGCGTTCTCCGTCTCAAACTTGTCTTTGAGCGTCTCCTCCTCCTTCGCCAGCATGGCGTTACACGATGCGGGCAAAAACGTCACTCCCCCGGCCACCATGCGCAGGCTGTCTTGCAGTTTGTGGCATTCCTTGATATTGACCACCCCGGCTACGTCGGAACTCTCGTTAAAGTGTGAGAGTCGGGTCAGGAAACCTTGGTTGGCCTGCGAGGTCGCATTGAGTTTGCACGCCCGAGGGAGGGAATCCGCTTTGTCTGCCCCGAGCACACGGCGGAGCATCATACATTCTGGATCGTAGGAAATTAAGGTATTCCAATGAAGACAGGTGGGGTGTTAGGACATGTGAAAGGCACAGAGGAAACCTAAGGTAGACAACATTTTCTGACACGAAACTGTAAGGAAGGGATCAAGTCCATCTTTTTCTCAGGAATAAGCGCGTAATCCCACTACAAACCCATGCATCCTGTCTTGGTTAATCTTTCGCCCTGGATCATGCCTAGTGTTGGCTGCCCGCTAGACGCACCTTTCATATGCACCTTATGGGGGACGTAAGAGTCTTCCTCTTCCTCCAAATTGGGCCACACTCCGTCCACTTCAGCGGTGAGACTGTTACGACGCATAATTTTGAAGTCTTTACCCTGCATATTTTTTCGTTTTCTTCTTGATTTCCTCTTTTCAGAGCTTTTCCCTTGCTGGGCGCGTGCTAGTTGGCTTCTACTTGAAGTTGAGGGATGAAGAAAATAAAAGTTGTTAATGTGTGAAAATCCTCGAGGGAAGACACACCTCCAGTCTCAACAAATCTTTTGTCGTAACTGTGGGTTTTCCCACGTCTTAATTCAATTCATCTAAAAAGGAAAACACATGTGAAAGTCTTGCAGGCCAAGTTGATGTTCTGCTTCGGTTCTCAAGCTCAAGAAATTCAAGTGCATTTCCGACTCCTATAGGAAGTCGTGATTGGCACACGATGCCAGCAGATCAAGAATGAACGACCAAAACCTATTTATATTTACCCAAAAGTGCGTGGTTATTTATCCAAAATCACGTGATCAATGTGAAAAGGGCTACCCCAGGATCTCACTACAGAATAGTTGGGGGGGGAAGGGATCGGGTGGGAGGTTGCCTCTGAGAGGTCAAAGTGCTTAGCCTAGCCCACAGTATTCAACACGACATTCGAAAAAAGATGAAGCAATGACACACATGCATTCCTCTCGCTTCATGATGCAGGATGTGGAGCTTTTCTTTCATTATTGACACGCGAGGCCGCAGACGGCGCCGTCGGCTTGACACCTTGAAGCAGATGCATGCTCTCGCCCGTGCGAGAGGATCCTCGCGCCGCTAAAGCACGTGAATGCTCCGGCAGTCCGACGTGCAGGCGTAATGGCGCCATGTATAACTTAAAACCACGAGCGACTACTTTTGTGTGAGTCAGACCGGCGATGGAAAAAGACGTCTCAAGTTTGCTATGCCCCCCTTGCTTTTCTGATGTACTGCCCTGTAGCGTGCACCCGATCCCGCTGCTTTCTTGGCGAGTATATGACAAGGAAAAATGAACGAGTGCTCAGATTTCAGAGACTCGTATCCTGTAGGCGATCACAAGCGAAGTGTGCGCTTGCTTTCAGCTTTCCTCCTCGCTGCCGCCATCAATTTTCCGAGTGATGCTCCATCCATCCGTATTCCTTTTTTTCATAACTTGGGCACATTGACGTATTTGATACTCGGCAAACAGGTAGAAGTTCGATTTTGACAACCTCATCACTCTGCCACAAGATGACCGACCCCCAAGCCCGCCTCCAAGCAGCCGTAACAACGTGCATGGACAAACTAGACCGCGCCTACATACGAAAGCTGAGCAAAAATGCTTACTCCTGCATGGCGGCGTGCCACGATCATAGCTCGTACACTTCTCAAGACGTCCAACAATGTGTTGGGGCTTGTTCGACGGGACTCCAGGAAATTAATGCTTTAATCTCAAACGAACTCCAGTACTTTCAAAATCGATTGCAGCGTTGCCAGCAGTCTTGCGAGGATGAAGTCCGAGATACTCAAGCGAAAGCGGGTGGGGGCAAACCTGATCCCTCTCAGCAAGCGAAGCTCCAAGGTATATACGATAAATGTGTGGGGAAATGCGTGGACACTCACCTGCCATTAGTGAACGCTATGGAGGCAAAGCTGGCAGGAGAGTGCAAGAAGCGCTTGTAATTCATGGATACGAAGGGTCGTGTTGGAATGGAGTTTATGAAGCATTGAAGGGCAAGCGAGCCCATAAGTAAATGCTAAAAATGCAAAGAAATCAAAAGCAGAAAGTCTAAACACTTTAGGCTGACGAAGTTGCTCCCAAATGGCATGCGTGACAGATGAAAATATATGCCGAAGCGGGTGATTCTTCGGACAGGCGTCTACGTCACAATTCCCATGCATTTCGCCACGCACATCCATCCGAGCAGCCGTGCAAATGTTTCTCATTCTGCTCGTGTGTTGTGCATCGCGTGCAAACTGCCAACCAGGAGTACCTTTTTTTTCATTTTGTAATATTTCTTATCCTTCCGATTTACGTTTCCGCCCCCGATCGTCCTTGATCCTCGGTCTCTCCTTCTCCGACGCGTCGCCGATATCGCTCTCTCCTTCCTCTTCCTCCTCGTGTCTCTCCTCCCTGTAGTACACAAAGAGCTCCCTGCCCCATGCTGACGAAGCCCCCAAGTTAATCGCTTTCGTGAACCCCCACTCCCTCTTCCCGTCCTCCCTCATGACCATGGCAGACGTGTCTGCGACCGTTACCGGTTGGAAATACACTGCCGGGTCGAATCCTGCTCGTTTCAGGCGCTTGCGAGCCGCCTTGTAGCTTTTTTGTGTCTGGGGCTCTAAGACCAGACAGTGCGTCCATTCCGCAGCGCGCCTCAAGAAAGTTTCAAGAGCGTTCTCTCCGTGGACTAGATGGATCCACATCGTCGTTGAGAATATGGTCAACAGATCGAACTTGATGGTTCGGCCTTGACGAGTCTCCTCTCTCCCATCGACACTTTCCAAAGGTCTTGAATGCCTTGGACGAGAGTCGTCGTCATTTCCTCCCAGGTCACCATCTTTGTCTAAAAAAGCCCGCATGATCTCCTCGGCCCGAGCCCAATCCGTGACAAGATCGACGGCCGCAAATGATACGTCCCCACACTCTCCCTCTATCTTCTCCTCCTCGACTGATTCCTCTTTTGCCCTATTAATGAGATTTTCATCAAAGTCCAGGCCTAGCCCTGCCACAGGTCGGTGGGAGAGATTTCTGAGGCGGCGACAGAGCTCTCTGGTCAGCCTACCGGTATTGCAGCCCCAGTCAGCTATTAAAAGCCGTTTTCTCCCACCGTTCTTATTGTCTCCATACTTGAGAATACCTGCTAACGCCGCTTCGTTTTTGTTCTGCTTTCCAAGAGCCAGACGATCGCATGTGGAGGGTATGCCTAGCAGGGCAGCGACGCGTGACTCGAAAGGATGAAAAGAGTAGTAATGCGGAAAATTACCATTAAAGTGCCCTCCTTGCACAGCAATAGAATATTTCGGTATCGATGACGAGAGTCGCTCGCTCCCAGTGTCCGCCTTGCTGTCACCGTGAGCCAGCGACGGAGATTTGACCATCTACGTGCCAGTGCTGGAGGGGGGGAGGTTGGTGCTTGGAATGGCGTTGACCGAGTCGATGCAAGTTACCCGCCCCGACCCCGCATCTGCTCCCTGTTTGTAGAATGCCAAACGTCGTACGGGACTTAAAGAACAAATTGTTGAGCGTATTGCTCCCGCGTGCGGTATATTTTTTTTAATTCCTTCTACTCGCGGCCCTCGGTCGCCCCGCCCTACTACTGCCTCGCTCACTAGCCGCACATAATTCTGCCATTGCCCCCCCGTACATGTACAGAGACGAAAGAAGGGGTAGATATACCTAGGGAGGGGAATTGCAGCCAATCGCAGAGCCGACGGATCCTTCCTTACTAACCTCAACTCTGCCCTCGGAAGCCGTCGGATCAAGCGAGCGTATGCCTCCTCCAACCTGCTCCAAAGAAGCTAATCGGTACAAAGTCTCACACCTTGAAGAGCGTGATGACACAGCCTACCGGCGCGCAGAGAAACAATATCGACGCCAGCGCGTCCCCGTTAACAAACGTCGCAACCGCTTCGTCCGCCGGGACCCTGACCTCGCCCACGCGATCGACTTTGCAAAACGAGGCAGTCGGATGGACCAGCGTGTGCTGCTTTTAGAAACGGTGGAAGGCGGTCGTGAAATTTACAGCGTTCGTGATCGCCCTGGGTTCTACTATATACGGGGTGCCTTGACCTGGCAGGCACAAGTGCGTTGGGCACGTCGGTGCCTGACGGAATTTTCCCGCTCGCCATTCACCAACATCACGAACCACATCCGTCTCGCCCTCCGCCCGGCGCGCGACATGGAATGCCCGCATCAGTCTGGTCAAGAGGCTCTATGGGACGCAGCAGTACGGCGGGTAGAATCTGAGGGGTGGGAAGGAGGTGACGAGGAGGACGGAGAGGAGAAGAGGACGGGTCAAGCCTTGCAACAGGCCCTTCAAGATTTATACGCCTTGCGATGGGCTAACCTAGGTGCAAACTACATTTGGACGACGCGGAAATACGCAGTACCTGTGAAAGAGGCCGCGAAAGAGGAGACGGGGCGGGGCGGGGGCCTGAGGGAGGGCGAGACTGTCAGGGACTCGGGAGGGCCGCATGCCACGAATAGGGACGAGGAGGGGGGTGCACAAGGCACCCCGTCTAGTGTGCACTCCCGCGTGAGGAATTTACACGAAGGAAAGGTTGGGGCGGAGGAGGTCGGGCTGCCTGAAAGAGCGGCTTTTCCGCCATCGGACGGTCTCCCCGTGCCCCAGGCGTTGACCGATTTAGCGCGGGAGGTCCTCGAGGACATTGCCCACGCGGAAAGCCACCGTCCCTGCACCAGCAAGGGGGAGAGGGCGTTCCCTCTACCGATGAATTTCCGCGGGGAGGCAGGGATCGTAAACTATTACCCTCCGGAGAGTAGCATGGGGGGCCACGTCGACGACGCGGAGGGGGCCACGAGCGTCCCTCTCGTCTCCTTCAGCCTGGGTTTGGGCTGCGTCTTCCTTTTGGGGGGAAAGGACAAGGAGGTAGCGCCTGTGCCGCTTGTTTTCCGAAGTGGCGATTGCATGGTCATGGCGGGAGAAGCGCGTTTGGCTTTCCATGGAGTGCCCTGTATCCTGGAAGAGAGCGCCGGGCCGGACCCCGCATTGGGGCAATGGACGAGGGTGGCGGCAGTCTTGCGGGAGGATGACGGAGCAAGTCGCGCGGCGGAGGCTCGCATGCTGTCGCACTATTTGACATCCTCCAGGCTGAATTTCAACGTGAGGCAAGTCTGGAGACGGGAGCTTTGCGAGGGGGCAGAAGGCTTGCGCCCTTGAAGCCTCCAAGGAAGGTAGCTGTGAAAAGGAATGATGTAGAAACACGCATATGGTACGATCTAGATTTTTTACTCGCAGCTCTAAATCTTCACTTCTTCGAATTTTGTCGCGTGGGCCCTTGCCGCCAACCTCGCTAATATCCCCCCCCCAACATACACGCTCAACTACGAAGCTTGAGGCCAAAATCTGACCTTTTCTGCCCTGTTCCAGCCTGTATTCTCTCTTGCTTCATTTTTGCCTATCGTTTGGCCCCAGGGCCACGCGTGCGGCCAAGCCTGCTGGTTGCTTTTATGTGTAGCTCTCATAGTGTCACATTGGCGTCCACCGTCTCCGTGTTGTCGCATCCCGCCCCCACCGTATATTTACACACGGAATGGCACACATTGATCATCATATCCGCAACGCCTTTCGCTCCTCTTCTGATTTATCTTCCTTGGCATCACCTCTCCTTCTAGCTTTCAATCCGTCATCACGCCTTCTGCACCAACCCTAGTTCCACTGATGTCTGATCGAATTTTCGAAGCTTCATATAATTCACTGGAATTTTCAGGCCAAAGAGAGTCGCGGCTCCGAAGAGCCCTTTAATGAAGAAGCGGTTCACCAGCGTGGGTGATACGGCGTTCGCGGACAGCATGATCGCGGCGTTCAAAAACATGGAGGACATGATCGCATTCACCATGGTCGATTGGACTATGTCGATGCGTTTGAAAGCACGTTCACTCTCCAGCACTCGCACCCGGAGCTTGAGATCGCCTTGCTCCGCCCGTCGTAGCGTGTCCTCGATCTGGGCCACTTTGCGTGGGGAGGTGACAACCGCGGCCAAGTCCTGCGGCCGCCAGCCAAGCTTTTTCTGCCACCCCTTCAGGAGCGATAGGGTGGCCGAGCCGTCGCGCAAATCCACCAATTCTTTGAGAAAGGGCTGGGCCAAGCGGGTCAAATCGTACCTACTGTCCAGGCCCTTGCCAATCCCGTCCAAGGAGGTAAAGGCACGGAAGACGAAGGTGAAGGTTGGGGGAAACTTGAAAGGGAGATCCGTAGAGAGCGAGAGCAAGTCAGCTCCCAGCTGTGCGCGTCGCGAGGCCCTCTGCTGCTTCTGCGTCTCTTTGTCCAATTCGTTCACCCATTTTCCTCCTGTGTTCAACGTGCTCCCAAACTCTGCCAGGAAAAAACGCGCTATCTTTTCCACCGAGACTCGGTCAGCGCCACGACGTAGAATGCCCACACTCTCCATGGCGTCACAGGTCGCCTTGGCGTCCCCTTCGTACACCGAAAAGATCAAATCGACCAGGCCCTTCTTCACCTCGGGTCTGAACTCATCCATCATTCCAAAGTCGTAGTAGATCAAGCGCCCGTCCATGTAGTTGTCACAAGCCACGTTCCCCCTGTAGGGTCAAGCGGGGACAGAAATACAGGGAGAAATCAATTGAGCGGTGCCCGAGCAGAATAATAAGACATATAAAACACAACAAATGAGGGACGGAAAGCATCAGAGTCAGCACATTTCCCACACATGACCAAAAACGCGCGACTTCAACCCCCAGCCACCGATCCCTTCGCCTCCTCACGCTGACGTACGGGTGCGGGTCGCAATGGAAAAATCCGTGCCGACACAGCTGAAAGAGGTATGACTCCGCCGATCGCTTAGCCAGAAGCTTTCGGTCGATACCCGCCGCATCGATTTTCTCGATGTCAGACACCTTGATGCCAGGACAGTACTCCATGGCCAGCACCCGCCTGCTCGTGAATTCCCAGTAGATCTTCGGGACTTTCACCCACGGGATGTCCTTGAAATCGTTAGCAAAACGCTCGGCGTTCCTGCCCTCGTTTTCGTAGTCGATTTCCTTGTACAAGAGCTTGGCACTTTCCTCGTAGATGCTCTTCCAGTCCCGCGCCGCCCCGTCGTTCTTGGGATCGAATTTATCCAACAGAATGGCCAACACTTTCAGGTTTTTCAGGTCCAAATCAAACAATTCCCGCAACCCCTGTCGCTGGATCTTGATCGCGAGCTCCTGTCCTTGGTAGGTGGCCCGATGCACCTGGCCCAGCGAGGCGGCTGCCAAGGGCTCCTCTTGGAAGGTGTCGAAGGCCTCCTCCACGGACATCCCCAGCTCTTCCGCCACCACCTGCTTTGCAATCTTGCCCGAAAAGCCCGGAACATTGTCCTGCAGGTACGAGAGCTCCTCTGTGTACTCCTTGGGCAAGATATCGATGCGCGTGGAAAGGAGTTGGCCGAACTTGATGAAAGTAGGACCCAACTTGAGCAGGGCCTCTCGAGCGAAAACGGCCGCCTTTCGACGGGCCGCGCGCTGCTCCTCCACGTCCGTGATCTTCCTGACCTTCAGCTCCTTCAAGATGAATTGAAAGGCAATCTTCCAGATTTCCAGCGTCCGGAAAATCGCCGAGCCCTTCCCCCGTCGGGCCCAGCCCCCTTCCATGTAGGTGGCGGCCTCGGCCGCACTGTTGGCCTGCATTGCCTGAACCTGAGCCTCTGCCAAGACCGCTCTGTCTATTTCGCCGGAGACGGCGCTCTGCACCTTGCTCCCAAGCCGAGTGGCCATGGCCTTACTGAATTCGAAGGTGGACAGGTCCCCATTGGACCAGAGCCGGACAATTTTCCCAGTGCGCAAGGCGCGGAAGTCCACTGCGGACGAATACATGGTCTCTGTCCCCACCCATTCTTCGACCTCGGCAGTGGGCGGCGGCGTGGTGGCCATGACCGCTCTCCTCCTCGTCTTGCTCTCCTTTCCCACGCCCGAGCCCACCCCGGTGGAAATGGCCGAGGAGACTGTCACCGAGGCCGGGGCGGGCAGCGACGAGGGAGACAGGGCCGAGTCGGAGGCTGAGACCGAGGCCAGTAGACCTGCTGCATCCGTGGCTCCGGGAGCCGACGGCTCAACGCGCCCATTCGTTCCCGCGTCAGAGCTCCCAGGGGAAGTCACAGCCGTGGCGGGGGGGGTCGCCTTGGACATGGTGCCCTTGAAACCCTTCTCAATCTCCTCGAAGCCTGCGCGCAAGTTGTTATCGATAGCCTTGGCTTTGCTCTCGATGTCTTCCAAGGAGTCCTGTCCAGGTGCATTGTATGTCCAAGGGGTCAGTCAGGGTCAGGCGCATGCAACGATCAGG